TCGGGGGGATGGCGCAGTGGTGGAGCGCCTGGAAAATTTTCTGCTGTCTCACGTCAGCAAAGATCGAAGGTTCGAATCCTTCTCCCCTCACAACCATATTTATGGTCCACCCACATGAGAGAGTTACTCATTAAACTACCTATTCGACTGAGAGAGTTACTCGTTAAAACTTGAGAGGAAGACTCATTTAAAGTGAAACATCTGAGAGAGTTACTCACTAAAAAAACTACTAGGCTACGAGCCTCACCTTCATTTAGATAACCCCCTACATTGTACCTACTCAATTTGTACCTAGATCAAATTCTAGCCTACGTAGTTACTTGCAGGCCTTAAGCCTGCACGTCTTATATAGCCCTTTGGGCTGAGAAAGGACGTTAAACTACAATAATAATAATAATAATAATAATAATAAAGAGTACTCTCTGGAGAAGGATGCCACTGGCCGACATGGATTTGATGCACCCACTTCATCATGATGTTTCACGAGATGTCATATAGATACCGATGGCCGCACATCTATTCTATCCACAGTAACTTGCTAAAACTCATTCTATTTTATTTCAACCCGTTTTTGTGTATCTATTCGCATATTTGCCATCACCGCTTGACCGAATATGTGTTTTGGTGTTGAATACCTCTCAAGACCATAACGTCCTCAATATGCAATGTTGCAACGTTAGGTCTGTATGTTCTGCCGAACTTCAATAAACCATCGTAAAAAAAAACAAGATTTTCGGCAAGGGTGGACAGAATTTGCGCAACTACAGCAAAGCTGTATATGTCCATCGCTATGCACTCCAAAGGCTGATCCTGTCGCAATCTGAGACAAGCTTCCAGCCCACTTATCTTACTTTCTATAAATACTGTCACATTAGTACACGAACCCTATGCGTGGTTAAGGTTTTTCAATCAAATTATACGTCACTGTACATCCGATATTCAATAACCTGAGACTGTAAATATTAAGTTTGTATATGGGTGGAAGTGGAAAATTTTCATTCCAGCAGTAGGTTCACTCACCATCACTGTATTGCCTTCATTTATCTTTGAGTATGCTTTAATTAGTTAACGCAAAATGGGTATTTTAGTTAAAGTTTTGATCAAGGGTAAGACTACGTGAACACTGCTAGATCAGGTAGCTTATAAGTACTTTTCTTCGTTTTAGACTTGAAAATAACGAGGGGAGATTAATATCATTGGTGGATTGATCTGGGAGCGTGCTAAACGCCGCACGTAACAAGGTGCATATCCCTGCGACTAATTCATTAATAAGTGAATTTACTAATTAGTGTGTCTCTTCATCCTGGAAGAGCAGAACGTTGTTATAAGTGGTTATTGATCATAGAAACGTCCCAGGAACAATGGCTCCCAGGTATAAAGTCTAGATACCCTTCCATGCAGCACTTTTCCATCGCTTTCAACAAACTCGAACCTCGCTCAAAGCTCTTTACAACAAAAAAGTTCGACTTTGCTGGAACGAATCGCGCAACCTATACATACTATCTTTACAATGAAGTCAATGATTCTACCGCTCTTCATGGCTGCTCTCGTCGCGGCAATCCCGCAGCCTGCACAGCGCCTCACTGGAATCGAAGCTCGAGAGCCGTTGGAGGACCGTCGATCTGTAACCTGCCCCGCTGGTGAAACATACCAGTGCAAAAATAATGGTGCATATTGCTGCCAGGGTGCGCCTACCTTTTCCTGCTCGTTTGCTGGTAAATGTTAAGGTCAAGAGACGTTACATCACGCTCCTGAGTGGTTGTGGTTGGAAATAACTAGGTGTAGGAGGCGACAGGTAACTTTTATAGTTCAATCAACCTTGTGCTATGAAATTAATTTGATTCCACTTTGATGTATTTTGGCCAGAAACAAAAAATAATAACACATGGTGAGGTTGATCTGGGAACGACCAGACATTTCTGTGAAGACATCCTTTGACGTATACGTAATCTGCTCTTTGTGTTATGTTCGACTTTGATGCACTATTATCGCAGATCAGTAACGGCATGTATTACATCTTCTGGAGTAGCGCTATGAACAAGGAAATATTAGCCAAGGACAATCCCTCAGTTGAACAATGTCCGATTTCTCAGCCTCAAGGTACTGGCGTCATACTGAAGCCTGCACACTGTGTGGAACTATCTTTCTGTCACGCAGTCTATCTCCAACAAGGTATAACCCCCTGAACTCAGGTCAAGTACTTGATCTGAACTTAGCTCTCAAACCCAAAACTACATGGTCACCCAGCGCAGCCAGGTTTGGAAAGGACATAATCTCCAAGACGCTAATATTCAAACCCAAAGTTGCTTTCCACCAGCTGCGCAGCTCCACAGCTGCCAGGCTATCAAATCCAATATCAACAAACGAGCGGGCCAGGTCGACCTCGGCGCCATCCTCGACCGGCTTCAGAAGCAGATCAAAGACCCAAGCTGCAACCTCCCTTGCGATGAATTTGCTGGTGCTGGGATCATCCAATCTGTCCACGTTTGCCGGCAACATAGCGATGAAGCTCTTCAGGGCATCTCCAACGGTACCAGTGACAGTATCGGCGCCATCGGCTGCGGAATCCCCGTTGGAGTAGGTTGCCAGCCGACGGTCTAGAAAGGTAGCCTTGCCATGGAACGCCTCAGTTAGGGCCGGAGTCATGCGGAACCCGGTGATGACCTGCGATGGTTCGACAAAATCCGGGCTGACATGTTGCCCGCCATCCGATGCAAGGACGGCAAGTGTGACGGCCTGGAACAGCTCCTGCTGCGACATGATTGCACCTTCGAGCCACTTTGATCGTTCTAGGATCTTGGTATTATCCGCAGTCCAGCCGATCCCCTCCACAGCCCCCACATCAACAACCGACGCGGGTAGGCTTTGGCTGTGTCTGTACTGCACGAACGCATCCATGAATGTATTGCCGGCCGAGTAGTTTGCCTGCCCAGGCATTCCAATAATACCACACATGGAGCTGAACAGCACAAAGAAGTCCAGACCCATGCATCGAGATACGGCATGCAGATTCCACGTGCCCTGAACCTTGGGTTGTGTCGCCGTCTTCCAGTCATCGAGAGTCATTGCCAAGAGTGACCTGTCCTGCAGCACCATGGATAAGTTGAAAATTCCTTTGAGTGGTGCCGGTGATGCGGAAACAGCTTTTTCCACGTCCGTAATACTGGAGACATCTCCCCGGACCACGGTCACGGTGCATCCTTTGTTTTCCAGCTCGCAGAATAGCTCTCGATGTGTTTCAGCTCCAGGGCTACGCGATAAAAACACAAAGTGTGCCGCACCATGCTCAGCCATCCAGCGAGCTAGACCACGGCCCAGCCCGCCGAGGCCTCCGACTAGCAGATAGGATGCATCGCTTTTGAACCTCATGGTGGACGACAGGCGCCAAGTTTGCGGCAAGTCCCCAGACTCACCCATTGACAACAACGTTTTACCAATGTGCTCCCGACTGTCCATGGACCTAAGACACTGCTGCGCATGGCGTGCAGAAAACGTCTCTGCAACCGCCAGTGGCCGAATTTGTTTCTGAGAATACATATCCATTATTCGAGCAAGTAATGGTCCAATGCAGGGGACATCCGAGGGCGCTACCGGGGCTTCCTCTGCTTCAAGTGCATTGAAATGGTTGAGGATGTCGATTGTGATAAGTGACATACTGTTCCGAAGCAACCGGGAGAGAATGTGGGTTTCGTTACCTGCTGCTCTAGCAAGGTTGATGATCTTGCCTCCCGGTGCAACGCATTCGCATGAAGCCGCGAATAGGTCACCAGACAGCGTGTTCAAGACCAAGTCTACCCCCCGCTCATCGGTTGCATCTTTGATCCCACGGACGAACGATGTGTCCCGTGAATTGAAGATTTGATCTCGAGGGATTCCGTAAGCCTCGGCTAGGCTTTCTGCTTTCTTGTCACTTCCTACAGTCACGTAGACTTTGCAACCAAGCATTTGACTGATTTGGATAGCAGCATTGCCTACTCCACCAGATGCTGAATGGATTAACACAGTCTGGGAAGCTCAGTCGTCAGCACAATCTTCTTTCGATCTGGTGGGAAAAAGGAAATGGACACCAACCTGAGTTTTCTTTAGCTGGCCAACATCGACCAGGGAATATATGGCAGTAGAAAAAGCCAAGGGCATTGTACTTGCTTCCTTCAGCGACAATTCATCGGGGATTCGCACGCAGCGTTCCCTGGCCACAGTCACGGACGTGCTGAAGCATCCAGAGGCGAGCACAATGACCCGATCCCCAGCAGAGAGATCGGTGATGCGTGAACCAACACGGCACACGACTCCGGCAGCATCAAGCCCCGGCACACTACTGGAGGCCGCAGCAATATTTGTGGCGTTGGAAAAATCCTAAGACGCGGAGTCATTAGTACTAAACACGACCCATCTACTAGTGACAGGCGAAGCAAAAGGGCGACATATCCCACACATACCAGATAGCTCACACCTGCTGTATCGATATCAATCTCCACCTTGTTTGGCCCAAGAGTTGGTTGCAGTGCATGCACTACCCACTTTGCCGTGTCCGAGTCAAACACGAGCATCGAGTCACTCGTGCTGAATGCCGAGCGCGCTGGATTTTCAACCTCTTCCTGCATGGAGAAGGGAAGCATACGCCCTACTAGAATCGAGTTATTGTGGATCATGTATTCCAACTCGCGGAGATAGGTTTCCGTCTCAAGGCGTTCCCTGAACTGCTCGAACACATCGAGTGCTAGAGCCACCGATGAATGGTCTACAGTCTCCAACTCACACGTGGCAAGATCTACGCCAAACTCTGTGCGAGATGTCCTAGCCACGCCAATGGACATGGCATAACGAGGGTCCTTGCAGCCCACTTGGCTGCTTCGAGTGACCCAAAGTGCCCCGGAGTGTGATCGCTGCAGCTCACGTAGAAAGTCTTGAAACGTGGAAAAGTTGATGGCTGATATGTTGTGGAAAAACGGTAGAGTAGTATCCACCAGGACGATGACATGTGATGAGGGAGCCAGCGACTCTCCGAGACGCTGAACCGTCACCACGTGGCCGCGAGAGCGCAGCTGTTTTTGGAAGAGGACAGCTGTTTCCGAGGAGGCTGAATCAGCAATCAGGATTGTAGATTTGAGTGGAGGCTGGGTTGAGGGTCTGCTCTCCAGCTCGACGGCACTGGTAGTTTGGCTGCCATGGCCCTTGTGCAGCTCGTCCAACGCGGCTTGATCAGCAGCGCCGGCATCGGGGCTGGTGAGCATGTATGCCATGCCCTGGAGCGGGGGGGTCAGGTCAAAAGCGAGGCCGTCCAGGCCGTTGAAGCCCGCGGCCCGCATCTCCAGGTCTCACCGCTCGGGGTTGACATAGGGCTCGTCGGCGCGGCCGTCGCCTGTGCCAGCCCACCATCCCGACAGAACGCCGGTGACGATGTTGGAGTACTTTGTTTCTCCGCACAGCTCTTCCAGGAGCAGCTTGCCGCAGGGATGAAGCAGCTTTCGCACGTTGGCCAGGGTACCGCGGAGACTGGGCGTGGCGTGCAGCACGTTGGATGCGACGATGAGGTCAAAGGACGCGGGAAGAAAGCCCTGGGCGACGGGGTCGCTCGTGATGTCCAGCGTGCGGAAGACGAGGTTGGCATGTGCCGCAAAGCGCGAGCGGGCGGCGGGGAAGAAGGCAGCGGAGATGTCGGTAAAGGTGTATGTGGCGTAGCGGGTGTTGCCAAGAAGCTTGGCGGTGGTCCCGCCCGTGCCTGCGCCAATCTCGAGGATGCGCTGGCGGGGGTGCTGGTGGCCAAGCGCGCGGAACAGGCGAGTGCGATCCACCGTGTTCAGATAGTCGTACATGTCCGTCAGCGTGTCGTCGCCGAGCAGCAGCTCGACCGCGTCCACCTCGCCTTTGCACAGCGGCACAATGTTGTCCACCACCCGCACCATGGCGGCCGCGCATGCTCCCACCGACGTCGCCGATGCCTGCTGGGCCAGCTCCTTCAACACGGCGCCAGAAGCCCGGGCACGACCGTGTGCCCGCAGCCAGCTGTGGTATCTGCCCAGGTGCGCCACACTCGCACTCGCAGCCACGCCCTGCTTCTCCAACTGCCACAGGCTCTCCCCGATGCATGCCTCCGTCAGCCGACTCAGCATGAGCGCATTCTCCGACCAACCGGGCGGCGACGAAACAAGGCTGCTGAGCGGCACAAAGCCAATGGCTGGTGCCCAGTGAAGCCGCGCGCCACTCTCGCACTCGCGCTTCGTCTCCCCTGCCGCTGCCCCCAGCGGCTGGATCAGCGTATCCTCCAGCGTCATCGCCACCGTGCCGTCTGCTGCATATGCCTCGGCACTGGCGCCGAAAGCGCCTCGCCTCAGTGCATGTGCCGACACATTGCACGTCATGTCGGACATGCAGTCGTTGATGCTGATGTTGCCAAAACGCGTGGGCACAGGGAGTTGGCCAATCTTCCACTCCAGCCCCTGATACGACGCCGCGTAGACGCCCTGAAAGCAGGCATCCAGCTTCGTGGGGTGGATCGGGTAGTAGACAGTCTCCTTGACCGTCGAGACAACAGTGGCCGACGAGTACAGACAGGACGAGGATGATCGGAGAGAACGGACTCCTTGGAAACTAGGCCCATAGTCGACCCCAGTCTTGGCTAGGATCTGGTACCATTTGGCAGCATCTATCGAGCGAGTCAGTTCGCGTGAACCGTTGCTACTCTCCGCGGGCCCTCTTCGCCTCGACAAGGAGGATCCGCGTCGGATTCGGCCTGAGCAATGCTCGACCCAGGACACGCCGTTGTGGGAGCTGATTTTGAAGCTGTACCATCCGCCGCACCGCCAAAGCGACGTCATGATCTCGATTGTGTTGTACCGGTCCAGAACCATGGCGTGGTTGAGTTGCAAGTCCTGGATCTGATATCCCGCATCGCCTGCGCTGATCTGACGCGCTGCTTCAATCGCCATTGCGATGTAGCCAGCCGCAGGAAATACTGCACTGCCCGCCACCTTGTGCTCGTAGAGCCAAGGGACATGCTTAAAGAAGAGCACATTGCGCCAAGATGGTTGATCATCTGTACTGAACACATTCCTAGCCCCCAGCAGTTCATGCCGGGGGAATGGCGACTTCTTCCACTCTTTGATGCTGCGAGGCGCGTACACCTTTGACATGGAGTGGTCCCAAGAATACGTCGGCGCATCCGCCAGCACCCGCGCTGTGCCGTCCGGGTCGGTCAGCACATCTAGACGCATTGCCTGGTTCTGCGCAAACATTTTAGTTTCTTTTTAGTTATAATTTATTTACTACTTTTATTTATTTTACCTCTTACGTTTAACTATATTATTTTCTCTATAGGCTTCTATGTAAATACTAAGTTCTCTATTCTTAACTTAGCGTCTATACCTTACTTTTATACTTCTTTCTTTAGTTAACTACTATAACTTAGTTATATAGTTAAGCTAGTAACTTAGCGTAATAAAAAGAAGAAGTAAAGTAATTATAGTAGTAATAATAAACTAGAACTAATACTAAAGCTATAATAGCGCTAAGCTAGTATGCTAGAAAGTAAATTATGTAACGGGTCGAGTCCTATTAAACTGCGCACGCAACTACAACGCGCCCACCGCGCCAAAAAGGCTGGCACAAGATATCAGAGCTGCTGATATCGTTGCGTAGTTGATACATAAGATAGCCACCGCTATCTGTACTGTAGCGGGCTACCTAGCCCGTTACAAATTATAAGTGAAGAAAGATAACCTTCTAAGCTAAGATATTAAGAGGCCTATAGCCTATATAGCTAAGTTCTTATTAGGTTCTAGCGTAAGTTCTATTTATAGATAGTTAACTACGTTAGCTTTAAAGAAGTTTTTATCTTATTTAATTTAGTCTCCTACTTTATTTGGATATACTTTATTATTTATAAAAAAACAATTCATTTAGTATATCTTTTATAAAGTTGGCATAAAAAGAATGTTATTTTAGCTTTATAATTAATAGTAATTAGCGTTTTAGCTATTTGATTATAGTATCTTTGGTATCTAGAATTAAGTCTTAGATTAACTTAGCTATTCTGTTTATTGTGTAAAGGGCTACGCCAGAGAGGCATGACCTACAGGTCACATGGCAGTGAATCACATGACTTTAGTCACGTGACTAAATGACGTGGTTAGTTACGTACGAACAAGCTTAAGTAAGGAGGAAGACTAAAGGTCTGAGCGTTTGTACGAGTAACAACTATAAAAGGAGGGCCCTCTAGATAGTTCTTTTCTGTATCTTTCTTCTTCTGTACAATAGGTGAATGCATACTCGTTAGTTAGGCCTCTCTCGCCCATAACATATTGTCTCTTCTTAACACTCTTCTTATACTAATAGATTACTCTAATAGGCTTATCTAACTAAGGCCTTTTAGATTTAAGAATTAAAGTTAGACTTAATATTAGCTAAAAAAGCTATATTAATCTTACTATACTTAATTAGGTAGCTAGATGGAGAGCTTAAAGGTGCTATAAGCGTTTAATAAGCCTTAAGGATATCTTTATAAGCTCTTATAGTTAGTACTTCTATTATACTATTACGCATAGCAATATACCAAGGTAGAATTATATGATAGTTCTTAGTAGCTAGCTGTAACGATGTTACAACTTCGCCAAGTATTGAGCCAATCCCAGAGCCGGATCGGAGGAAGTACCTGCCGCCCTTCATCAGCCATTCGCCCGAGGTCGGATCCGAATTCGGACCCGACTAGGATAGGTATATATTGAGACACTCCCTGTAGCTAGCTCTGTAGACTTTTGATATCCTTTCGTACAAGGCCTATAGGTGGCTTGTTGAATCTAGGCTCTTTGTGATCCCACGCACTCCCATATGCCTCTGAGTGATCCTACGACCGAAACAGATCCGACCTGCCTTACC